ACCAGATGAGGGAGGCTGCAGCAGAGACCCAGGGGGACTGGCAGCAGTGGTGGGGAGGAGCTAATCCGTTCATGAGATACAAGCCGCTCTCCCTGCGTGGCCCATCCAGTCCTCCTGAGTCACTCAGAAAGGAAAGCAGATGGAGAATGACACGCTCCCCACTGGGGTGGGCCCCTCCCAGCACAGGCTGGAGCCACAGACGCCACACCAAGAAAACGACCTGGAAGAGCCATTTGCTTCTGGTTTTCCCTTGGAAACACCCAAAGAAAAAAAAAAGCAGGAGGGGAGAGATTTTCCAAGGTGAAGTCAGGCTTATTTGCATTGTGGTTCCCAGCAACCTGCACCTAGAGGCTGAAGTTAACCCGTCGAGGCAGAGGAGGGCTTACTCACCTGACAGAACGAATTTCAAACTGAGGATGGAAAGCCCAGGTGTGTTGGTGCCCTGGAATAAGTCGCTGCAGCCTCTCCCTGTATAGTGAGCCCTGTGCCCCCCCAACCCCACCCCGCCCCGCCCCGCTGATCCCAGAATCAACCTCTCTGCAGGCCGTGCACTGTCTCGGCCCTGCACGGATATGCACAGACTCTCATCTATGCGCACGTTGGCGTCCCTGGCCGCCGAATTCCTGCAGAGTGTGCACAAGACCTCATGTCTGTCACAGGGCAGGCATCAGTTCTGTGCCTCCCCTGATGGCTGGGCACCTGCTGTGTGTGGCTGAGACCTCAGGGAGAGGAAGGGCACTGGTGACAGCGCTTGGAGAAAGAGTGTCCACCAGGGGCCGGCGCCATGGCTCACTTTGTTAATCCTGCGCCTGTGGCACTGGCATCCCATATGCGTGCCGGGTTCTAGTCCCAGTTGCTCCTCTTCCAGTCCAGCTCTCTGCTGTGGCCTGGGAAGGCTGTGGAGGATGGCCCAGGTGCTTGGGCTCCTGCACCCGCGTGGGAGACCAGGAGGAGGCACTCGGCTCCTGGCTTCGGATCGGCGCAGCGCCGGCTGTAGTGGCCATTTGGGGAGTGAACCAATGGAAGGAATACCTGTCTCTCTCTCTCACTATCTATATCTCTACCTGTCAAATAAATAAATAATTTAAAAATTTTTTAACAAAAGAAAGAGTGTGCACTGTCCCTTGGGGTCTGTCCCCTGCTTGCGTTGCTGCCCGAGGGGTGTATGCATCCCCCGGGGGCTAATAACACACCTGAAACTCCCTACTGCTAAAAATTCAGACTTCCTGTGCAGAGGCTTTGATAAAGTACAACATTCAAATTCAAAGCAAAGATGTATTTATTTGCAAAGCAGAGTGATGGAGAAAGAAAGATTTTCCAATCACTGATTCACTGCGCAGATGGCTGCAAGGATGAAGCCAGGAGCCTGGAACTCTGTCCAGGGCTTCCACGTGGGTGCAAGGGCCAAGCACTTGGATCATCTGCTGTTTTCCCAGGCACCTTAGTAGGGACCTGGATCGTAAGCGATGAAGCCGGGACTTGAACCAGTGCTCTGGATATGGCCTGCAGGTACCACAGGCAGCGGCTTAACCCGCTGAGCCACAACACTGGCCCCTGGATCTTTTCTTCACACCTGAACAGCACATCTCTGTGGAGTCTGTGCTGGGGAACGGGAGGTGAGTGGGCTTGGAGCCGGCGTCCCTGCTTTGTGGCTGTGTGGCCAGCACGCTCAGTCTGAGTCAAATGGGGCAATGGGTGTTGGGCCAAGTTCACCTCTTGGTTTTCCATTTTCCTGCCTTCATTATTTCGTGAGGAGCTATGCCAGTGTTTATTTAAAATAAGAATGCAATCGTGAAAGAATCCTTTTCTGGCTTAAAAGTGAAAGCGGCCTTGAAATGTACTTCACCCCATATGAAGAAGCCTCATTTTTGTTATGATGGGGAAGGGAGAGAACTTCCCTTCTGTGCTGGGAAGTACCCGCAAAGTCCCTGTCCCATTAAGTGCCATCGGGATCCTAAAACGTTAGTAAAGAAAATCAGCTCATTCCCCAAAGATAATTAACTCTCTGTTACTTGAGGGCTACGCCCAAGTCCACAGCTCCGACTATCAAACAGTTCAGATATGGGCATTATCACAGGGCTGGCCCTTGCTTTTTTCTTTTTTAAAAGATTTATTTATTTATTTGAAAGTCAGAGTTACACACAGAGAAAAAGAGTGGCAGAGAGAGAGAGAGAGAGAGAGAGAGAGAGGTCTTCCATCCAGTGGTTCACTCCCCAGTTGGCTGCAACAGCCAGAGCTGTGCCTATCCGAAGCCAGGATCCAGGAGCTTCCTCCTGGTCTTCTCACTCAGGTGCTGTGGCCCAAGGACTTGGGCCATCTTCTGCTGCTTTCCCAGGCCATAGCAGAGAGCTGGATCGGAAGTGGAGCAGCCGGGACTCGAACCAGCGCTCATATGGGATGTGGCCACCACAGGCAGCAGCTTAACCAGCTGCACCACAGCACTGGCCCCACATGCACATGCTTTTCCCCTCAGCAGTCTTAATCTGAGCTTCAAAATCTGGATCCCTATTTTTTTTTTTTTTTTGACAGGCAGAGTGGACAGTGAGAGAGAGAGAGAGAGAGAGAGAGAGAGAGAGAAAGGTCTGCCTTTGCTGTTGGTTCACCCTCCAATGGCCGCTGCGGCCGGCGTACCACGCTGATCCGAAGGCAGGAGCCGGGTGCTTCTCCTGGTCTCCCATGGGGTGCAGGGCCCAAGCACTCAGGCCATCCTCCACTGCACTCCCTGGCCACAGCAGAGAGCTGGCCTGGAAGAGGGGCAACCGGGACAGAATCCGGCGCCCCGACCGGGACTAGAAGCCGGTGTGCCGGCGCTGCAAGGAGGATTAGCCTATTGAGCTGCGGCGCCGGCCAGGATCCCTATTTTTTAAAATTTTTGAACAAATGAATCTGCCATGTGCCACACGCTATCCTAACCTGCTCGGGGTCAAGGCCAAGGAAGAGAAATGACAGGGCCAGTGACGGGAGAGGAAGTGCAGAGGTCCTGAAGCCGGGGCCTGTTGGACGTACTCTGGGAGTATCCTGGAGTAGCTCTGCTGAGCAGGGCGTGCTGGGCCCCTGCTGCACACCCCTGAAGCTGAGGCTTGTGCTCCGCCCTCCTGGGGAGGCCGACAAGGCCACACATGCACAGCGCTGTGCAGGCGACACAGCAGAAACTGCACGCTACTGCTCCGGGGCCCCCCTGCCCCATCCTCCACGGGCAAGTGGCCTGCGTGGGCCCAGGGGAGGAAGACACTCGCCTGGCCCTGCCCCAGTCAGCTCCCCAGCAGAGCACAGACTGCTGGGCCCCCTGCTGGGCTCTGTGCCTGCAGCCTCAGCCTGGACCCCACCCCCCCACCCCAGCCACGGCTGGTAAATGCCCAGCCCCGGCCGCCTCCCGAACAAGCTCAAGGTGTCTGAGTGGTGCTTCAGGCCCTGCACAGCCCGCCCCAGCTGGCATTCTGGGCCCCAGAGCCAGAGCTGGTTCTGACGTCATACAGGGACCCAGCAAGGCCAGCGTAAGCAGGGTCTACGCATCCATTCTGCAGCCTTGTGAGCAGGCACACTCGCCCTGTATGTTCCCAGCTCCCAGGATTCCCTGTCTGCTCTTTCCCTGTTCCTTGCCTCCTGCTGCTGCCCCAGCCTGGCCTTGTGGTAGCCACCGCCTCGCTCCGTGGCACCTGGGCAGCACGTGCGTGTGCACACACACACACACATACACACAGCAGTGCCCGCGTCTGTGGTGGAAACGCAGCTTTCTCACAACTTGTCCCTTTGCAGCAGGTCCTCTCTCCCCCTCAGAGAGGACGATTATGCCCTGCGTTCTCTTTGTCCCCTGGTCAGCTGGCTTAGCGCTGACCACCTGGGTCTTTCCAGCTGGGGGGGGGGGAAGGGTGGTGGTGGTGGTGGTGGGTACTCCCCCTGTTTCTGATTGCCAGTGTTTATCTTTTCCAACAGGGAGAGAAAGCCCCAGGCGCGCTGTCCCCCCGGGGCAGCAGCATGGGGCCAGGCACACTCAACAGCAGGTTGTTGTGGGCTGCTGTAGGCGCTGGCAGGTTTTACTCTAGTTTAGGGCTGCTCAGGACTCTTAGACTCTGCTCGGACGTGTTCCACCCTGCTTCGAACCACAGCGAGTGCACCCCGAAAGAGGGCGCCCCTGGAGTCAGGAGGGTGCCATGGGGAGTCCGCTCACTGGTGTGAGATCCGCCACGTGGAACTCCTTTAAAATCCCCCTGTGGAAGCTGGTGGGCCTGAGGCCTTGCCTGCTTTCCTAGCGGAGTCTTGTGAGCAGGTGCAGTTACCTGATGCACTTGACTCGTCCGTTTAAAGCCAGCCATTCCCCACACCCCGAAAGGAGCAGAGTAGCTCTGTGCCTGAGGTGGGTCCCCGTGGACCCCTGTGAGGTGTGGGTGCAGGGGTCTTCAGGTGTGTTACGAGAGGGGCTGCTGCAGGCTACATGGAAGCCCCCGGTTGGAGCTCTCCCCACCAAGTCTGCCGCTTGCTTGCTCGTCTGCAAGTGAGGCCACTCAGATAATTAGTCACAGTACAGATCTCGCAGGACGTGGGTGCCAAGAATTCCCAAACTGGGCGCCTTCTCTTCAGAAGGGGCCACACGTAGCTTCCAGCCCGGGCTGGTGGCATGAGGCATGCAGGTCAACAAGGCCTGGTTTGGTTCAGCGAGGAAAGCCCAGCCCCCAACCAGCTTAGCTCATGCGCACTTTTCCCTGAAGTTGTGTCCTGCTCAGAGCAGCAGGTCCCAGACAAAGTTGCAGGGCCCCGAGACCCAGCCCCTGGGGCCCCGTTCTGAGTCCCCTGGAGGGCCCTGGACTCAGGGAGCTGCTTCCCCCACCGCGGGCAGTGGAAGAGCGACTGCTTCTGCTCCCGCGCAGCCGCGCCAGCTGCCTCCGCGGCTTGCTCCAAGGAGTGACTCGGTGAGGGTGTGAGGCTGCTCCCACAGACGGCGCCCGGGCTCCTCCAGGGCTGGCTCCATCCAAGACGCCCTCCCGCCTGCCCTCTGCCCACAGGCACCTGGCGCTGTACGCCTACAAGCCCCAGAAGAATGACGAGCTGGAGCTGCGCAAGGGCGAGATGTACCGGGTGCTGGAGAAGTGCCAGGACGGCTGGTTCAAGGGCGCGTCCCTGAGGACCGGCCTCTCCGGGGTGTTTCCCGGCAACTACGTGACGCCCGTGTCCAGGTGAGGCCCGGGGTGAGCAGGGAGCAAGACCCCGCGCCCCAACCCTGACGGCTTCCCCTTCCCAGCTGGGTTTGCGTGGCTGGGCTCCGTGCACACTGGCTGCTGAGAGCGGAGGAGCGGGAACAGGAGGCGCTGGGGTGTGAGCGGGTGTGGGAAAGCTCCAGTGGGGTCCCAGGGCGCGTGCGCTGGTGTGCGGTGTTTCTCGGGGTGTGTTCTTGTGTGTGTGCGTGCATGTGTGTGAGTGTGTGTACAGTGTGTATGCCACATCAGTGTGTGCACCATGTGAGGGTTGTAGGCGTGTGGGCATGTACTACATATGTAGTATGGTGTTTGTGCATGTGTGTGCATGTGTGTGTGGTGCAGTGTGTGAGTGTGTGTATAGTGGGAGTGTACAGCCCACTGTGTCATGTGTATGTGTGAGCATAGAGTGTGCATGTGTGTCCACTGTATGTCATCATGCATCGGTTGTATGTAAAGCACACATGTACACATACTGTACATACAAAGAAAAATGGCTCATTCATAAGAGCAAGCCTTGTTGTTTACTGCTAGCTGAGAATGGTTTTTCTTCTTTGTGCTTTCTTGTATGTTACAAAACCTCTCTATTTATTACTTTCATAAAACAAACAAAAAAAAAGTCATTTTAAAAACTCACCAAAGAGGTAACCAGGGATTATCGGAAGATTTTCCACCACACTGAGGGGTCTAGCACCCAGTTTCAGTCCAGACAGTCTCGGCCGTGGAAGCCCCCAGCAGGCACAGCGGTAATTAAACAGAAGGCAAGTCCCTGGGGTTTCCATGGCAAACCCTGGCTCAAGACTGCTGTGAGACAGACTTAATATCAGCCAGACCTTGCTCCGAGCGCTGGGCTGATCCGTGCTTTTCACAGCTGTTAGCAGGCAATGGGAGGATGGCTACTCTCACGGTGCCTCTGTCCTGAGACCCACAGGGTGTCCAGGGACAAGGGTTAAAGGCCCCTTGACTCGGTGACCCTCGGCAAAGAGAAGCTGGGGAAGCAAGCCGCGAGAGGCTTCGGGGAATGCACAGGGCACTGCTGGTGGTGGGAGCTGTCCCCGGGCCACCTGTGCTTCTTCATAGGTGTGCAATGGCGTCCCCAAGGCATGTGACCCAGGGCTCTGGGCTGGCTTTTGCAGTCTGGGACATGGCTTGGCCTTAAAGCTGCTGGAGTCTCTCTGAGTGCTTTGAGGAACACAGGTGCAGCTGGCCGGCACCAAGGCAGGGCGCCCTCGCCCCTCTCTGCCCAGACTGTGGCGGGACTTCAGCAGGTGTCCAGGGCGCCTCAGCCTGACATTGACACCGGCATCCTTTACCCAACACAGCTAAACCCCTGGCTGGACTCTGGCTGTGGAGGGAGTGACCCTGGCCCTTGGGGCTACCCACATACCCCATCAAGTCTGGAATGCCTCCCCACCCCTTCTTCCTGCTGGATTAGGTCCGACACATCCTTCAGGGTCCTGTGTCCACTTGCTGTGGACAGTCTTGCCCAGCCTCCGCTTCCCCACGCCTCTGCCTGAATGGCGTGTCAGCACGTGCCACTCAATGTGGTCCACTACAGGTGTGTGGAGCCCCCTCACTTGCCAGCCCCTGGCCACAGTGTCCATGTCCGGCTTTGTACCCTTGGCTCCTTGCCTACTATTTGCTTATACTAGGTGCCTCTAAACGCAGGATGAATAAGGAAGTAAGTGAAATCTGATAGTTCCAGTCAAAAGCTTACCTCGAGAACTCTCTACCCTGCCGCTAGTGTAGCAAGAGTTTCAGTTCATAAAAATGGAGCTCCTGAGGCCCCCCTTGGGTGTCTGGCTGCAGCCATGCTTGGGCCCCTCCTCAGTTGCTTTTTGGTCTTTTTTTTTTTTTTTTTTTTTGGACAAGCAGAGCAGGCAGAGTGGACAGTGAGAGAGAGACAGAGAGAAAGGTCTTCCTTTTACCCCGTTGGTTTGCCCTCCAATGGCTGCTGCGGCCGGCGCACTGCGCTGATCTGATGGCAGGAGCCAGGTGCTTCTCCTGGTCTCCCATGGGGTGCAGGGCCCAAGCACTTGGGCCATCCTCCACTGCACTCCCGGGCCACAGCAGAGAGCTGGCCTGGAAGAGGGGCAACTGGGACAGAATCCGGCGCCCCGACTGGGACTAGAACCCGGTGTGCCGGCGCCGCAGGCGGAGGATTAGCCTAGTGAGCCGTGGTGCCGGCCTACTTTTTGGTCTTTTGCCAGGTGCATTTTGTGAAGAAGCTCAGTGCTAGGGAGAAGCGAAAGTCACTCTGGATCTGACCCTGTTGTGGTATCAGCAGCCCCGCCGAGAAGAAACCAGCAGGTGCCCCTCGTCAGTATCTCACACGTGGGCCCGTGCCCCACCCTGAAGCAGAAAGGCTGGCCTCGGACTTTAGTCATGGGAGTAGAGGACTGTCCCCTCCCCGGCGCTGCCCCAGGACACAACACCTTCTCGAAGCCTCAGTGTTTTCTAGGGAAATTGTCAACGCCACCGGGCAGATATGCTGAGCCTCCTAGGGTCAGCGGTCCGAGGGCTGGGCAGAGACCAGACGTGGAGGCACCCTGCTTGGAGTCCCGTGCAGCCTGGGGAGGATCAGAATTCATTTAAAAACAGGTGGAGGCACCGGGGGTGCGGCTGTCACTAAGGAAGTAAGGATACACTGTGAGAAAACACCCTGACCTGCAGAGGGAGGGGCTTATGGCTGTCACCGAGGCCGGTGTCTGCTGCCTTCCAAAGTGTGACTATGGCCTTGCAAATAAGTGGCCTTGCAAAACATATGAGCCCGCTCTCTTGCTTTTTTAAAAAAATTAATTAATTAATTTGAGAAGCCAAAAGACAGAGAGCTTCCATTTGCTAGTTCATTCCCCCAAATGCCCACGACACCCTCAGTTGGGACCGAAGCCAGGAGCCAGAAACTCAATCCAGGTCTCACACATGGGTGACAGACACCCAATTACTTGAGTCATCCCTGCTCTCTCTGAGGGAAGAAAAAAAAAAAAACAACTGGAGTTAGGAGCCAAAGCTAAGACATACACCCAAGCACTCCAACGTGGCCTATGGGCATCTTGACCGCTAGGCTAGATGTCTGTCCTGGTCTTTAGAAATGACCCCCGTAGGTGGAGGAGAACTCCAACAGGGAGCGAGTGTGATTTGCTGGTTCCTGGCGGTGGGTGTCCTGCACCAGGCCAGTTCTGAGGAGAGACAGTGCTTCCCCCGTAACCCCCGGCAGGCCGGTCCATCCTGGGAGACCCCTCTCCCCTCAGCCATCGTGTAGAAGCCCCCACTGGGCACTGCAGCCTTGGAGGTCTTCCCTGCTGGAGGTTCTAGCCCTGGGGTTCAGGACACAGGGGCCACCTGGCCCAGGAGAGAGGGGCCAGCCAGAGCTGTGAATGCTGCTGTCTCAGAGGGCCAGGACGGAGGTTCCCAGCTCCTGGGCTGATGGACACAGCCATGTTAGAAGGAAGCAGGGCAGCGGCCCTGGTGCAGCGGGCTTGCTTAATCGGGAGCATTCTCCTGCTCTTTTATTTTTTATAATTTTTATAAAGATTTATTTGTATTTATTTCAAAGAGTTACAGAGAGAGACAGAGAGAGAGAGGTCTTCCATCCGCTGGTTCACTCCCCACATGGCTACAACGGCCGGAGCTGAGCTGATCCAAAGTCAGGAGCCAGGAGCTTCTGGGTCTCCCACATGGGTGCAGGAGCCCAAGGACCTGGGCCATCTTCCACTGCTCTCCCAGGCCACAGCAGAGAGCTGGATCGGAAGAGGAGCAGCCGGGACTCGAACATCAGGCCAGGGCTCTAAGCCGTGTGCCAGAGCTCCGGCCCCTCTCCTGCTTCTTCAGCACTCTCTTGTACTCGGGCACCCTCACCCCTGCACCGTGAAGGCTCTGTTCAGCCGAGCTCTGGACGTGGCCCATTACTGGGTTGCCTTGGTGCTGCCTTAGGAATTTGGCCCAGGGCCACTTGGTCTTCATCTCTCAGAGCCCCAAGGTGAGAGCGGGCCAGGCCTTTGCCAGAGGCTGCGTGGCCTGGTTTCCTTTGCGCGCTGTCACCAGTGTGATTCTGTTTCATTTCCCTAGGGTTCCTGTAGGAGCGGCAGGGCCTCCCCGGAATAATGGGGTCGGAGGGTCTCCACTGGCCAAAGGGATGGCCACAACCATGCACCCCGGCGGTGGGAGCCTGAGCAGTCCGGCCACTGCCACCAGGCCCGCCCTGCCCCTCACCACGCCGCAGGCCCACGCCCAGCACCTGGCAGCCTCCCCACCGGCCGGCAGCTGCCTGCGGCACATGGCCCAGCCGACGGCCAGCCAGGCCCGGAGCACCATTCCAACAGGTATGGATGCAGATGCCTGGGGGGTGGGGGGGGCTCATCTGCTGGGAAGGTGAATAAGGGGGTTTGTGGGACACAGATCACAAGGCATGGCTTGGCCAGCCGCCGTCGGGTGAGCTGTGGGTCTCGGAAGTGTGCCTGGTGCACAGTGGTACCCTCCCTGGCAGGAGGCCGGCGGGTACCAACAGTGTCTCCCGCAGTCCGGAGACCATGGCTGGCTGCACAGATCCTCTTACTAGCGCTCAGGGTCTCCCGGGGGGACAGCAGCTCACGGGACAGGCTGGTCCTGTGCACAGACTCCAGGGTCTCCTTCCTGGAGTGCTGTGAGGCTGGAAGGATTGATGGCTGATGCTCCCTTCATGGCAGCATTATCAATTGATAGACTGATGATTATCAATCAGTAGGCTGGTTTTCAGTTGACAGGCCAATACCAAGCAGAGTGACACGGCACACGCTCATTCTCCATGTCCCTCTCTCTCTGGTTCAGTCCTGCAGCTCCACCCCAGCAACTTAACCCAACACACACAGTCATTTCAGGGCCCTCCCTTGAGACACTAACAATGAGAGCCATTATGCCGTGGCTTTGGGACTTCACCGTCGTGTGAGCTGGGGTGGCTAAGTCCTGTTCAAACTCAGCAGGAGGTGAGCACGTGTGCTGGGCTCTTAGCTCGAGCTGCTGAGCCCTGCTGCTGTCCGACTCACGGAACACTCTGGGAGCCTGCACGGAACCTTCCAGAACTGTAGTGCTGGCGACCCTGCCACTGCGCAGGGCAGGGGGGCATGACACAGAGCTCCTCTCCCACTCCAGCCCTGACCTCCCAGAAGCCGTCTCTCTCCCCTTCAACATGGTGTTTGAAAGGGCAACAAGAGTGCAGGTTCTCTGGGGCGTTGGAAAGCGCTCAGCAGTAGGGGAACCAGCCGAGGACGGACCCACTGGAAGTGGCCAGCACAAAGTTGAGACAGCAGAGGCTGTGTTTTCTCCTCATCACTGCTGATGGAAGGAAAGCTGGGGGGTACCTGTGCCCCTCTCGAAACTCTCTGATCTCTGGTGCACCCATGTAGTGCTCTGACGTCTGCCTGCATGCCCCTGTGCCATTCTGGCGTACGTGGGACAGGCCGACTTGTTGGCAGACTTGAATTTCATGTCATTTAATGTCAGTGTTGTACAGCAGATACGATGTCCTGCTGGCCACACTGTCTCTGCTCTGGGACTCTCCCTGGCCGTCAAGAAAGTGATGCCAGCCGGGTCAGGAGGGCTGCGGGTGCCAGTGGAGGGAGGGGTCAGATGGGACGTTGTAAAAGCATTGTAAGAGCATTGTAGCTGCTTTTACTAAGCTGTTAGAGAAAAGAAGCAGTCAGTGAATGAAAGTCGAAAGAATAAACAGGCATTGCCATCAAATGATCCAGAGGGCGGAAATCAGAGTTGTAAGCCGGGATACCACTTTATGGATTATTCCTGTGGCATCGTGTGGAGCACAGCTGGGGTGGGGCGGCTGGGTGCAGCAGGAGCCAGCTAGGGGAGGTGAGAGGCGATAGGGGCCTGGCCCCGTGGGGGCTGCAGCGGCCGCACAGGGCACTGAACTAGTCAGGGAGGCAGGTTGGGTCTGAGTGCGAGACAGCTGCGTGGGAGACTCAGGGAGACCGGGAGTCAGGTCCACAGCCCCTGGACTCCTGGGCTAGCCCAGGGACAAAGGCATCCCCGGCCTGGAAGACACCACAGGGGCACTGGTTCCTGGGGGAAGGCGAGGGCGTGTGGTTGAGAGGTGTGGTGGCCGTGGATTGTGCTGCGGGCCCCTGGCTGACTGGGGGCTCACATCCTTGCGTTAGGATTCCCAGTCACTGTAGTAAAAGCCAAGCCCCTTTGTCCAGCATGCTCTGGAAGTGAGGTGCAGGTCCATGACCCCACCTGGCAACAGGGGCTCCTGCACCTGCTTGTGTTCAGCAGACACAAAGAGGAGGTGCCCTGTGGATCGCTTTGGGGGAGCGGGGGCGAGGGCAGTGGAAATGCCCCCCCTTTTCAGGAGCAGCAGGGATGGGCTTTGCAAGCTGTGGGTCCAGCCTCATGTGGAGTGGTGTCCGCACCCAGCAGTGGTGGGGTTGGCCCTGTCTCATGTATTCTTTCCGGCTTGCATCAGCCTGGATGGCGTCCTCCGTGTTTGCACACCTGGCCTCCGGGACCCGGGGGGAAGAATGCGTTGCCTCTCCCACACTGCAGGAGTTCTGGAGGAGTACTCTGTGGTCCCAGACGCCCCTCACCTCGCATCAGCCACACTTACCCTGTGATGTGAGATGCCCTGCTGCTGTTTGTTGTCACCTCCAACTAGGGTTGCAGCTGTCACAACAGGCAACACGCGTCTCCTTGGCCCCGGAGTACCAGGCAGGACCTGGGTTGCCAAAGGCCTGGGCCAGGTCTCTCTGGTCGTAGACACCCCACCCAGTAGGCCCGGTGTGCCCCATAACACTACGGGGAGTGGGCATCCCAGCAGGGCGCCATCTGCACAAATAGCCAGCCTGGTGACCTTACCCTGCCAAGCCGTGCTAGAAACTTTCCAACTGGGAGAAGAAAACGGAGCCCAGCCCGTCACCTCTCCCTCCATGCGATAACAAATGGCATCAAAAGACATTGGCGTGGCTGGGAGCAGTGCAGCACCGTGTCTCCGTTGTCCATCTCCATAGTAACCAGGATGGTGGGACATCAGTCTAATGTTACATGTGGGGAGAGGATGGCTAAACAGCTCCCCCAGGGCACCCCAGCCCAGTGCCTGTCCCCACGCCTTGGAGTCTTATCAGTAAATTGAATGCCCCTGAGTTCCCACCGCATTTTCCACTTCATTCTGCATTTGCAGAGAGGAAAAAAAACACTGTTGACAGCCTAAGCAATGGCTTGTTTGCTGCAGTAATTGCCCATTCCAAGCAGGCCCCCGCCCTGCGCCCTGGCCGTGGGGAGGCGTTTCAACACTATTCTCATCTCTAGCCAAAGTCAGGCAGCTTGACAAAGACTTAATTGCATTGGCCACAGCATCCAATATGATTTGCTGTCTGTGATTAATGTGACTCCTTCCTGCAGGGAACGAGCACCCCTGTAAACAGCCAGTGTTCCTTGCTTCCTTCCCCCATCAGTGGTTGGCAGGGCAGGAGCCCTGCACCGCCATGTTTGCATCAACAACGCGGCACCGGGAGAGAGCTGGATACTGGTCAGGATACTGTGAGAGCCTCGGAAGACAGAGAGCAGCCAGCCAGACCCTATTCCTGCCCCAGGGAGCAAGAAAGACGAGACAGCCCATTGTGCTAGTGTCTGCGTGCCATAGTAGGAAGAGCAGGCTGTTCAGTTGGAATGCGGAGAAAGGTGGGAGAGGGTGTGGCAGGGAGGGGCATGGGATGTTCACGACAGGAGGCGAGGACACCTGGGATCCCAAAGGGCACAAAGGAGTAGCAGACAGCACAGAAAGGAAGGTGTAGGCCCGTGAACCAGCTGTGGTGAGAAGGCCACGGTCCCCCCTCTCACAGCGGAGGCCGAGGCATGGAGGGACACGGTCTGCTCTGTTGGTGACAGTTGGCCTTGAATCTGCAAGACGGATGGACCTCAGCGTGTGGCTGCGAGCCAAGTGTCAGGGGTAGAGGGAGGGGCCAGCACAGCCCCTGAGGCCAGCAGAGGCCTGTGCGTTTGGAAACAGAGCAGAGGGGAGGTGTGGTGAGCTGGTGAGGAAGGAGTGGGGAGGAACCTGTTCTATGTCAAGGGTCATGTGGATATTTATTACATTGCTCATGGGACCAAACGAAATATCAGTGTAAAACTGAGCCTGCTTAGATTTACTGAATTTTGGGTCGCACCTGTTGTTGCGTGGCAGGGCCAGAACGAATGATTTCATGGGCCTTATGCAGCCCACAGTCAAGATGTTCCCCATCTCTGCTTTCGACTATGTGAAGGGACCTAGGCTCTCACCTGGGTAGCGCACTATAGGGTTTTAAATAGTGGAGTCGGGTTTTTGTGTTTAAGGGATGGATCTAGACTCTTGCCTGGGGCCGAGGAGACACAATGAGGGCAGGATTTACTGTCCCACCTGAAGCAGACTTCAAAAGGATCAAACTTTCAATTAATTTGACTGTGTCCTGAACAAAACTCCAGAATATGTTTAGGAATAAAAACCATCCAGCTCTTAACCAACATCAAAAGTCACATTGGGGGCTGGCACTGTGGCACAGTGGGTTAAAACCCTGGCCTGAAGCGCCAGCATCCCATTTGGGTGCCGGTTCTGGTCCCAGCTGCTCCACTTCCAATCCAGCTCTCTGCTATGGCCTGGGAAAGCAGTGGAGGATGGCCCAAGTCCTTGGGCCCCTGCACCTGCATGGGAGACCCAGAAGAAGCTCCTGGCTCCTGGCTTCAGATCAGCGCAGCTCCAGCCGTTGCAGCCATGTGGGGAGTGAACCAGCGGATGGAAGACCTCTCTCTCTGTCTCTACCTCTCTCTGTAACTCCGTCTTTCAAATAAATAAATAAATCTTTTTTTTTTTTTTTTTTAGAGTTGTAAACAGAGAGAGAGACAGAGAGAAAAGTTTTCCTTCTGTTGGTTCACTCCCCAAATGGCCTCCACGGCTGGTGCTGCACCGATCCGAAGCCAGGAGCCAGGTGCTTCCTCCTGGTCTCTCATGTGGGTGGAGGGGCCCAAGCACTTGGGCCATCCTCCACTGCCCTCCCGGGCCACAGCAGAGAGCTGGACTGGAAGAGGAGCAACCAGGGCTAGAACCCGGTGCCCATATGGGATGCCGGTGCCGCAAGGCGGAGGATTAACCAAGTGAGCCATGGTGCAGGCACCAATAAAATAAATCTTTAAAAAAACAAACAAAAAGAAAAGTCACAGTGCTGATAGCCAACAAAAATTTACTAGACAGGCGAAGGAGCAGGAAGATATGGCCCAGTAGGAAGAGATCAGTCAATCAGAATTAGTAGACAAGACATTAAGACAGATATTCAAATTGCATTGCCTGTATTCAGAAAGGTAAATA